CGATCATGAAATATGATTATGAGTCGCTCGAAAGCAGTCCAGGCCAAAAGTATGGCTCCTCCATTGTACATGCCAATGTCCGTAAACCACCACAGGATACAAATTGATGGATTCGCTGGAACAACACTCGAATGTACGATAAAATTCAGATAGAAAGGAACATCAACTAATTGAGTGCCCAAGCCAAGAATAAGAAATAGAACAAGAGAATGGTTTTTTACGCTAGAACGTAATTTTCGATCCATAAGGATACAGCAGAGAACGAACAATGTACAAATGATGGATGGAATATCAAATAGGAGAAGAATCCAAAAGCGAGCCGTGCGTGACATAGATATCTCTGTGCCGGCAAATGAAAGATTACCCGTGTTGTTCGAACTTTGTTTGTCAGACATTACTAAATATTAAAAAAATATGACAAAGATCATGCCATGTAATAGAATATATTAGAAAAAAATTGTTCTATATCAAATAACACACGAAAGCTGACTATCATTTACCGTATCTATGCAGCTCCTCAAAGATAAAAAATTTCGAAAAAAAAATGACTAAATTGAATTTTCCCTCCATGAAGCCGGGAGAAAAAGATTAGCAACGTAAAGGTCTTAAGAGTTATCACGCCGGTGACTATAAGCAGCATAATCGATTGAGTAAGCTGAATGCTTTTTAAAAGCTCAGGAAAATTGTTTTTTTAGTATTTAGCGCAATTATGAAACGCGATGATACGAGTGAAATTAGTGCATGCAAAAATGAGTACAATGCAAAAGAAAATGCTCATATTTACTAGTAAAGCTTATTAGAGGAATACTTTGATGAGAGACGTCGCTCACTTGAGCTCATTCAGACTGTAATTAGTCTTTGTGTTGTTTCTCAATTACAATCCGACAAATCAGTAATTATGTAGTCGTACAGGAACAATCAATTAAGCATTCCAATTAGGCAAACTATCAAAAACAAAATTCGGCGTAGAGATATTGAAAAGATAGTATCAAGAGGAGAAAAAAATGGCGAAATTTCTATTTTCTACAGATTCGTCATTTGTTGTAATGCCGACAGTAAAACGTAAGTACAACATATACACTTCAGTGCCCGCCACAAATATAAATGAGAATATAGGACGTGAGGTGGGATTCGATATACTGAAGAAGAAAGTGTCATCATCTTCAAATTCAACTGCACTGAATAACTGTGAATATATTAAAGAAATGATGATAGTAATGAAAATGAATGCATACATCAAGCTATCATAGAGGAATCACGGTCGCTTTTGAGAATAATATTCCTTGAGCGTCATGACATTTAGCGCTTGCTTACACAAGAGACTGCAAGCGATTCATCCATAAGAGACAAAAAGAAGGCCAACAGGAGATATTTACAATATCAATACAATCATAATTATTTGATGTTATTCAAAAGAACAGAGAAAGTCTGATGAGAAACTAAGATATTTTTAATAATGAAATTTATCAAGAGACAAGAACTGTAAAGTAAATTCTTGTGAGATATCTTTCGACACTAGTTAAGTAATATGCTGTTCACTAGTGTAGAGAAATTCAATTGTGATTAAGCGATTAGCATAATTCTATCTTCTCTGATTTCACGGTTTCTAAATACTGTTACAACGCCGAGAAGCAGAACTTCTCATTGGTATTCATGGAACTTTGTTTTTCTAATATTAAATCTTGTGATAGTTTTCTACCATTCCTTTTATTAGACTACAATCTTGATGAAAAGTTCCGCAAAACTATAAATGAAAAACATTCATGTAGATGAAGTCTTTAAGCAAACTTGCCTATTCTATTTTATAATAAACAGAAATACGCAAGTGATGAACTGCTGTAGGTTTTAACAGACAGTTGCATACGCCTAGACTCGATCGACACAAAAACGAAGTTTTTCAAAGGAAATCTTTGAGAAAAAGGTTCATCTGTCTATCCTATTCTCAAATTTTCCAAATTCAATCTATCCGCGTATAGAAAACTGGAAGAAAAAATTGCACTAATTTTACAGTATCGACATTTTATTAGAATATTTCATAATAGAAATATAAACAAAATTTTCCAAAATGAATTATTTAGGCTGATAAATTGCCAGCAGAAAATTACATCCAAAGACGAAATCTTGTTAATCCGATCTCGATTCTACTCTGTGGAAAACATGTTGCCGCCATAGTACGATATGCCTCGAGTTTTCCAGGATCGATTTTTCCGTGAATATCAAGAAACACAAATTCTTTTAATCGTTCAATTAATTGACTAAGATCTTGTTCAAAAACATTCGTATGTTCAGCTAAATAGGAAAGGTTTTTTTTTTCTTAAGTTTATTGCTTTTATTGACATACCAATCGACTCCGATGTTTGTAATGATTCTATCCATCGGGAAACATTAACATATTTAAAGCAGGCTGGTTTAATACCTGGTCGAACTAAATATAAAATAATAAAATTGAAAAAGAAAGCACTTCACAGATTCAACATTTCAGTTTTTATGAACTCACAATATCCTCATAGGGTAGTGACATCGTACGAAAGAAAAAACTTACTAGATGTCCAAGGAAAATCATCTGGCCGCCAAAGATGCAACGTTTGTAAATGAGGCATATGAGTAGTAAGAAACGGCATAAGATTTTTCCCGGTGTGAATGGATTCGTTACAACCGTAATGACAACTCGGAATACCAAAATCAGCACATCGAACAGAACGCAACGCATTTTGCTTTAATTCATCCGATGCCTAAAAATTAAAAACAATGAACACGAAAATCGTTACAGACATATAAATGTAGAAAATAAGAACAAAGAGCTTTGAAAGATACTTACATACTGAATAATATGATAGAGCCATTCAATTTTTTCAACAAGAAGATACTTCAGTTGAATTGGCATTGAAATTAATTGAGCGAATATTTTTGCTCGCGCTTTATTTATGTCAAGTGGTGTATTACGACTTTCTAGAAAATTATTTAAATTATATATCTCAAGTCAGTTAAAAAAGCCCAAGTGACACGTTATAGATTTGAGTGCGCTGCTTGATTTTAACGAAGAGAGGAAGACTGCCTTATTAAACTTCACGCATGCAAGCATAGATTAAACAAATGTATGCCAAATAATTAATATTTGTGTCTTGGATAATACCAATTAAATTGATACTTACTAATCATAGGACTTTGACAAAATCCTAAATCAAGTCTTGTTACATTGCGAAGTTGAATATCAGTCACTTTACGTTGACCTATTTCGAACGGAACTCTTAATGACACTGCCAAGTCAGACTGATCCATATCTCGATAGCATTCTATATAATAAAAAGAAAAACAATGAAAGCTGATAATCTTGTGTAGAGTGTAGCTAAGATTCTTCTATTCCGACATGCACCGATGATGATCATTTGCCGGTTGTCGGTGAAGAAAATATTTTCGTCACTGAGAACCAGTAACTCTAAATACGGTTATCGTCATCGTTTTTATGAAATAGAAATTAGGAATCGCCTCTCATAGAAACCTAAACAATACTCCCCCTTTTCATCACCTAATCCAGCTGTTACAAGCTCTCCCAGTTCATAAATTAGTTAAGAGTAAAATCCTAACCTGTATAAACTTTAATATGCGAAACATTAGGATACATTTCATCAAATTTTTCAAGAAGTAAATAAAGAGATGGATGTAAATCAATCGAAATATCTTGCAGATGTGGCCAAGAGAAAATACTTGCATGAAAACTAACAAAAAGAAAAATAGCGAACTAAACGTTTTCTTGTAGAATAGGTGATCTTACTGTAAACCATTCATAAATTGAAGTGTTTTAACATTAGAAGAGGAAAGATGTTGATACGACATCAATGAATCATAGAAACAAGTTACATTTGTCCATTGGTGATCATTAAAAAATTGATGAACTTGAAAAGAATTTTTTATTTGTTCGATATTACTTGATAATAATTGACATTCAGAAACAATATAAAATTGAAAATCTGCTAAATTGATTATGATATCAGGTAAACAATATTGACGAATAAAATTTGCATCAACAACATGCTCCCGAATCAGTATATCTGATGACGAATACATTCTGTAAATTTGAAGATGGAGATTGAATTTTTTTATATGATTTAAATTGTTGAGCATCCATTTCAAATAGGCAAATTCCAAATCTTTCTTAGCGAAAGTTTTCAAAGTAAAATAATTCAATTTTGGAACCTAAAATTAGTAGACCAAAAAAAAATATTGTTCCTATGAGAAGTCAGATTTCCTTTTGTTAATAGAAAACGTCGAACAATAACGATAGTCATTTTCTTGAACCGAATTATAGCAAAATCGAACCATTTAGAATACGTATGGTACTCATTCTGAAGGAATTTATATTAACGGCCGGATGCCACCAAACATTACGAAATTCGCCACTAACGCGTATTTGGTTTCCAATCGATTAATACGAAATTGAAGATCATTCCAAGGAAAGTTTTACTTAAGCAGAGCACTCAATGTTACTGAGGAATACAGATGTTCGCAATTTAAATACTATTGATCATTCGCTTTTGCAAAAACTGTACTCAGTTTTCTTCTTGTTTGAGTCGGACTTCGCTCATATATGACCATTTCCGACCAAAAGTCCATAGTTGAATATCTTGAAATTCATTTCTATAAGGACTTGAACGAGGGTGCAAAGAGAATCGCGTTCGATTCATCTTACCTTTTCAAACCAGTTCCCATGTGATTTGATTAATTTTTCAATACTGGACTTGGATCGAGATCCGAAATCTATCCGTGGCTTAAAAGTAACTGATAATCGTTCTATATTGGGTATATGTTCAATAAGATGTTCAAGAAAACATGTATATTTAAGACAAACATATAAATGTCGAAGTGTCAAACAGCAACGTTGCATTCTGCTCGATATCGAATTTGACACCGGATGAGAAGATAATACTAGACATTGATGTATATTAACAGGAGAATTGTCATCAGCAATATCGAGTCGAAGGCTTGTTAATTGACATTTATTAGAAAAAAATTGACGGATCAACTGTTTAAGCATCATTATTGATTTCCCTAATTGGCACGAACGAGAAACAAAAAGGAAATATCATACTATTAATAAACTAATGTTAATGTTTTATTGAAATGTAGCAGAATTATCGAATTCTTAATTTTTCGGAGATCCCAGGCATAGTTTATGATGAGCGGGGGAAGTGAGGGGAAATCCCCCGCTCACTTTTTTTTGCGTTATAGCTTCCTCTCTGGAATTTTTCTTTGCGGCTTTGTAGACGCTTTTAATTCATTTGTAGACTGAATAAAGCCTACCAAAGACAATCATTTATATTCTCTTTCATATCAATTTATTTTTTCTTTAAGTTCGAACCATTTTCATTCAGATGATATTGTTCAAAACTTTTTCATGCATCCAGGAAGAGCAAAAGCTCGCAATATCAATATATACATTCGAAACAATTATGACGATAGCGATGATGAGTGATAGGCAAACCA